CAGGAACCTCGTAAAATGAGAAAGAAAGAAAATGCAAGGCCCTCAGTCTCCGGCAGTCCCTTGAAAACAGGCTATGGTAGCAGTCCTGTAGTTAGAGGGACAGAGGGTGCTAAGAATCACCGGAGTCAACCAGGCTACCTTCATAAACGACAACGGCAAAGAATATGGTTTATGGCAACATACAACACAAGAACATTGATGGAGGACGAAAAACTAGTTGAACTGGAAAACGAGCTGAATCATATAAAATGGGATATACTTGTATTGTCCGAAGTACGGCGAAAGGGTGAAGAACAAATGGTACTTCCGTCGGGAAACCTATTGCATTATTGAGGAGGGTCTTCCAATGGTGGCGTAGGATTTATGGTAAATAAAAAACACACAAAGAATATACTCACAATTAAAAGCATAGTGATAGAGTTATATATCTTATCTACAAAGTAAACGAAAAAATTCGGTTAAAGATCATTCAGGTATATGCACTACTAGTACCCATACAGATGAAGAAGTAGAATGGTTCTACGATGACGTTAACACTGCCATACAAGAGACAAACACCAACTTTACTATACTGATGGGAGACCTAAACGCCAAAATAGGCCACAAGCAAGATGATTCGGAGTTTGTAATTGGACCTCACGGATATGGCGATAGAAACGAAAGGGGTCAAACTCTCATAGAATTTCTTCTGCAACACAGGCTATATGTCATGAATACGCACTTTAAAAAAAGCGACCAAAGAAAGTGGACTTGGCAATCATCAAATGGTTTAAACAAGAACGAAATTGATTTTATATTTACTAACAAAAAAAAACGCTGTTCAAGACGTAACTGTATTAAATCAATTTTCAACTGGAAGTGACCATAGAATGGTTAGGGCGAAGATAGTCTTAAACATACAGAAGGAAAGAAGACATATGGTAACAAGGACTAATAATGTTACATTCACTGCGATTACTAACACCAGGGCATACCAGGAAGAAATAGAGAGTAATCTACAGAAAGACCTGCAAGATGAAACCAGTATTGAACAGCTTAACGAAAAATTGGTAGAAGCCCTGAAGAAGTCACAGAAGAAGTGCCAAGCCAAGCACTCAACAAAAATGAAAAACTCACAGAAGACACAAGAAACCTAATGCAAAAAAGAAGGGAAATGAAAGAAAAGCATACAACGAGCATTGCAGAGCTAAGGAATTTAAACAAAGCATTTCAAAAGCCATTAGGAAAGACATAAGGAACTTTAACACTAAGGAAATAACTGATACCGTAGAACAAAACAAAAGCCTTAAAGTTCTAAAACGAAAGTTGAAAATAGGAACGAGGAATATTTATAAGTTAAAAATAATCAAGGACATGTCATACATGAACAACAAGAGATACTAAAAATCATCGAAGAGTACTATAGAACATTATATAGTCGAGATGATCACATTCCCGAAGTAGAAATTCCAGCAATACTAAATCAAGGGTCAGAGGAACTTCCAGATATAACCGAAGAGGAAATTAAGTCAGCATTAAAAGGTATGAAGAACAACAAAACACCTGGAGAAGATGGCATTGTAAGTGAAATGATAAAACTACGAGGCGAATGCGTCATAAAGGCTTTAAAAACCCTTTATAATGCCTGCCTCTTTGAAGGAAATACGCCAGAAAAATGGAATAATGCCATTATGATAATATTGCATAAAAAAGGAAATGTAACAGAAATTGGCAACTACAGACCTATCAAATTATCTCATTTATATAAACTCTTTATGAGAATAATTACTAACAGACTGGGACCTAAGCTAGATTTTCATCAACCTCTAGAGCAGGCCGGATTTAGGAGTGGCTTTGGAACAAATGACCACCTACAAGTAATAAAATCCTTGATAGAGAAAGTTATAGAATACAACAAGCCATTGATAATAATATTTGTAGACTTTGAGAAAGCATTTGACTCAGTCCAGCATAGCTCCATGTTAAGAGCTCTTACAGAGTGCAGTATTGACCATAGGTACACAACTCTTCTTCGAAATATATATGATAGCGCAACAGCTGCTGTAAAAATGTACTATGGTGACACAGACACATTTCCCTTGGAGAAAGGTATTAGGCAAGGAGACACTATCTCTCCTAAACTATTCACCGCCCTATTACAGAGTGCTATGAGAAAAAATAATTGGGAAAATATTGGATTAAATATAAATGGGGAATTTTTGAACAACTTGAGGTTTGCAGACGACATAGTCCTTATTGCAGATCAGGTAGATCATGCATGCCAACTTCTTCAAGACCTTCAGAGCTCTTGTGCACGAGTTGGTCTTAAAATTAATTTTTCCAAAACACAATACATGACCAACCTGGTACTGGCAAAAAACATTTCCACTAATGGCACGCAAATTGAACAAGTGTATTCCTATAAGTATCTGGGCCACGAGATTAAATTGGGAAGAGACAATCAAACAACAGAGTTAAAAAGGAGAATAGGACTGGCATGGGCAGCTTACGGAAAACTGAGGGAAGTCTTTAAATCAGCTATTCCCATGTGCTTGAAGAGAAAAGTTTTTGATCAGTGTGTACTTCCAGTTCTGACATATGGAGCAGAAACATTGACACTTACCAGAAAAGTAATTAATAAGATACAAGTGGCACAGAGAGCGATGGAGAGGTCAATGTTGGGCGTATCACTCAGGGACAGAGTTTCGAGTCAGATAGTAAGGAGAAAAACTGGTGTGACGGACGCAGTTGAAAGAATTACAACCCTGAAATGGAACTGGGCAGGACATGTTGCTAGGGTCAGAGATGGAAGATGGACAAAGAAAATTTTAGAGTGGAGGCCTAGACACGATGCTTATCGTAGTCGAGGACGTCCTCCAACAAGGTGGTCGGACGATTTAAAGCGCATCCAGTCTAACTGGATTCAAGTTGCTCAAGATCGGATGCAATGGAATTATTTACGGGAGGCCTATGTTCAGCAGTGGACGCAAAATGGCTAATGATGATGATGATGATAAGTACGAGGCCAGCTTCTTGCATAGACAAAACAGGTCACAAAGAACCAACCAATAAAATAGACGTCACAAAAGTCAAGGAACACATCAAATCATTTCCTTGCTATAAGAGCCATTATACACTTTGTGATGCTCCAGATAGAAAATATTTAAATTCCAGATTTAAATATAAGAAAGTTGTATCAACTTTATAAAGAGAAATGTGAACAGAAAGGTTCAGAATCAGTCAAAGAAAAAATGTACTATCATGTTTTCTCTTCAAATTTTAATCTTTACTTCAAACCTTTATCTAAAGATACCTATTAGTTATGTGATTCTTTGTATAATACCATCAGATTTGGAAATAATGACGAAGATATATATAAAGCAAAAACCGATAAAAAAATTCATCTCAGAAAGGCCAAACTAGCGAGAGATTCGCTTAACAAAGATAAAAATTTAGCTGATGAAAACATTTTATGTTCTGACATTCGATTTACAAAAAACTTTACCTTTTCCCAAACTAGGCACATCTGTTGCTTATTACAAGATGAACCTATATGTTTACAATTTGGGAATTCATAATTTTACCGACAATAAGGGGTACATGTTTATGTGGGACGAAACAGAGGGATCTCGAGGTTCACAAGAAGTTGCCTCCTGCCTGACAAAACATTTAAAAATGAATGCAAGAAATTGTGATAATATCATTTTGTATTCGGACTGCTGTACAGGCCAGAACCGCAACATTAAACTAAGTCTATCACTGATAAAACTTGTACAAGACCCTGAAATGAAAGCTACTTCAATCGACCACAAATTTCTCACCTTACGTCCTAGCTACCTTCCGAATGATGCAGATTTTGGGGTTTTTCAGATAAAGGCAAAGAAAATAGAGTTTATTTATGGTCCTGAAGATTGGATTAATTTAGTTGCCACTGCTAAAAAGACTAGTTCATTTCAAATAATTGAAATGAAACGTGAAGAATTTCTTTCGACAAGGATGTTGAAAAATAGCATCATTAATAGAAAAATCGATACTACAGGCGGAAAAGTTAATTGGTTGAACATAAAATGGCTTAAATATTACAAAAATAAACCGAGATCTATTTTCTATAAAGAAACACTGCAAGAAGATTTTCGATTTAACGAGATAAACATTGCAAAAAAGTCCGGAAAGTGAAGACCACCTAAGTTCTTTAATATTGTTCAGGAGCAACTCTACCCAAATCGCAGACCTGTCAAAATTTGCCAATAACACAAAAGGCTAATCCTAGTCGTTCAACATCAATGATCCGCCAACTTAAGTCTAATAACGACAGTGAAGATTCGGATAATTACATAGACTAATAATTTTGTTTTACCGTTGTTTTATTTTTTAGTTCAGTGGACACTTCTTAGCATAAGTCATTTTTTTTCTTGTTTAAACGCATTAAAAAAGAAAAACGCCTTTCATTTTTGTTAAATTTTCTTATATTTAAGTTTATTAGTATGTGACATTTCAATAAAAATTATTATTAGTACTTATATGGGAGTCGTTAAAAACACATATTTTTATTATTATTTTTTTGTTTTGTAATAAAAAAATATTTTTTTACGTCTTTTACTGATTTACTTGAATTATTACCCATTAAGGCACATTCGTTGCCCTTTTTATAACAAAAAATTGTTAAATAGATATTGATTTTTATTTTAATAATAACACAAACAAATTGACTGGCATTACCCACACTCATGACCGGTAATGTCCATATATGATGACAATACCGGTCAAAGATACTTTTTTATTTTTTGTCTCTGTCAAAGACAAAAATTTTTGATTTTTTAAATTAAATGTGTCTTGCAATAAGTTAAAACCCCAAATGATCGGTTGACGTCTTAAATTTGATTCACAGAGTTTTACTTTTTTTATACTTAATAAATTTTCTTCTTAAGTAACCGCGATTTGCACACTTTACTGTATTACCCTGGCTGTGACCGGTTTATATAATTATACGCTAAAGAAACACCTAAACATATTTTTCTTACTTCATCTGAAATTGAACCACAGGGTCAGCCAAAACATCGCTCATGTCAATGGTCTGTCCTTTATTTTTAACTTCAGGATGCTTCCTCATTAATAACCATCCAACGTGAGAGAAGAAGAATCCTCTGTTTGAGTTGTGGGGATCGGCTTCAGTGTCTGTGTATTTGTGGTGTAATCTATGGTCCCTAGCCCAAATGTAAATATTATTCTGGATAGAAGCTGATTGCAGTAACATTAAATATATCCTTAACGGCAGTTTTGCTTTGTAAGCTCTGTGAGACCAGAGTCGATGATTTCCACCAGTGACACCAACGATACAAATTATGAGGTAGATAAAATCTGGAAAAAAGGAAATACTATGATAACAAAAAGTAACTAAAATATTGTCTAGTATTTTTCTAGAATATTTCAAAAGAAATAGGTCCATATAGTACAAAAGAAGAAATATTACATGCATTAAAAACAATGAAGAGTATGAAAATCCCTGGACCTGACATGATTCCTATCTATCTATCTATAGCCCAAAATCTATTCATGTGTTGAATATAGGCCTCTTCCATTTGTCTCTGTCTTCTGTTTGTCTTTTCCACATTGGACCTGCACTTTGCTCAATGTCAACTTTCCATTTCATTTGCGGTCGACCTTGGTCAATATAACTCTACCAAAGTCAACTTAATCAAACAGATGAAAAATAGAGTAATTAAACTATCAGATCCATCATTTCATACAAAAAACCTACAAATCCTTCTGAAATTTTTTATTTCATAATTCTTATCCAATACCATTAGTAAATAAGATTTTGTTTAACACTATCCATAACGAAGATACTTCACCTTCCATCGTGACTAACAATGCTGATCCTGATGTCTTAAGTAGGAAACCCAGTCTCGGATACTCCTATCAATAAATATTTTTCATTACCCTATTTCAGAGATATCACTCCGGGGTTAACAAGGATTCTAAAAAGTTTTGAAAATAGCTTTTCTAATAATAATAATAACATTAAACTTAATGTGGCTTGTAGATCAGCCCTAACAATTAATAATCTTTATTCGAAGATAAAAGATAAGACTCCCATAGATAGGCTTAGTAATATTGTCTACAACATTCCATGCCTCTCTTGCAACAATTCCTACATCGGCCAAACATCTCAATTATTGAAATCACGTATTACACTACACAAAAGTGATTCTCGACTTCACCCTGACCGCTGTGCATTAGCCAAACATGTCCATTCCACTGGTCATCACATGGACTATACGAACACTACAATTCTCCACCGTGAGAACAATAAATCTAAAAGAGAGTTCATTGAAATGTCTTATATTTTCTTAACGATTTTTCCATCAATGTTAAGAGTGACATTAAGAATCTAAGCGATATATACCACTTCTTACTTAAATCAGATACCAAGAACAATACAACATCACAGATAACCAACTTGACTGATATATCTATTAACAAACTAACCTACTTAAATAATAATTTTCATTAACAAAAAAAGATAACATTCCCTTGCTTTTCTTAGATACATCTCAATAAGATATTATTACAATAATACATGAACAATATACTAATTAAAAAAAAAAAAGAATTTCAATTAAGAAAATTCTAAACTAATATCTCCCCAGACTGGGATCTAACTTCATCGGTTTTACCATGAACCTTAACGACAATGATATCAAAAGAACTACTTGTAATTGTTTCGGCGCTTGCGTTCTATGAAAACAGAAGCTCACATTCAAACTTTACAACAATTAAAAATTTAGTTATTGCCGACAATTCAAAGAATTACTTCCTTTAAATGTAGTTACATTGGGTTTTTCGATTGTCCTTGGGTAAACCTTTGCGTTTTAAGTTCAAAGCTACCATACATTTCCAACGTTAACAAATAAACTTTTTTGCACATAGTAACAAAAAAACACCACTATGTTGTTACTAGCTAAAGTTTTTTAACATCATAACTCGACATTTCTAAAATTTCACGGTAAGGTAAATGTTTTTTATTAGATAATATATGGTAGCTAATTATAATTTATTCTCTTTCAGCCCTGAAGAAGCCAAATTCTCTTTGGCGAAAACGTTAGGTGAAATAATTGATACACATTAGAGTTTTTTTGCAGATATCCCAATATTTAAGAGTTTACTATATATATAATAATATATATATATATATTATATATATATATATATATATATATGATATATATAATATTATATATATATAATATATATATATATATATAGATATATATATTATTATATATATATATATATAATATATATATATATATATATATATATATATATTGTTATATTGGAAGGTATAAAACGCTAGGTATATTGGAAGGTTGTATTCGTTGGTCTTTTCTATTCAATATTTTAAGAGTGTGAAGGTGGTCGGTTATGCTGTACCCCTTTCTAAATCCTGCCTGCTCAACTGATTGGTATGCATCAAGTTTGTTGTTTAGTCTAGTTGTGATCACCTTAGTGAAAGTTTTATAGATTTGTGACAAGAGAGATATTGGTCTATACTTAGCTAATTTTGATCTATTTCTTTCTTATATATCAGAATTGTATTTGCCTTGTTTCACTCTTTGCGGTATTTGTCCTTCAAACAAACATTTATTGAAAAGTATCTTTATGTAGTCTTTTATCTTTTCCCCTCCTTCTTTTAACATTTCAATTAGAATTTCATCGTCTCCGGAGCCTTATTTCTTTTTATATCTCTAATTGCTTTTTCTATTCCTTCTCCGGTTATGGGGGTAATATTTCAGAGTTTACATTCATTATTTTCTTTTTCAGGTTTTGTTGAGTTGTATCAGGTGGACTGTTTTTAGAGCTGTAGAGGTCATTATAATATTCCCTTGTTATCTTAGATATTTGTGTTTGGCTCTTTTTTATTACACCTTGTTTATTTTTCATCTCTATGATTTCATTTCTTTCTAGGTGGGACTTGATAGATCTTAAGTTTTTGTTTTTTTTTTCTATAATCTTCTCGATTCGTTTTATACTTGATGCCATTTGAGATCTTGTTTTATATGTCTTCTTATTTCTGTATTAAGGGTTTTGTATTCAGTTGTATTTCTTTTATTTTCTTGTAGTAGGCTTTGTTGTTATAGCATGTCTAAAGATATGGCACTTAGTTTTGATTTTTTTGTCTGATTTTGCTGGTGCTACTTCTAAGCTAGTCTTTAGAAGTTCTTCAGTGATGGCTTTGTTTGGTTGATCTAGATTTAGGTCTGTTAGCTTTAGTTCTTTAGCTGTTTTGGTATTGTTCTTTATTCTCCTTTAATTTTTTTGGGCGACTTTTTTCTTATAGTGCACATATTTTCTTCGATCTCTTTTGTGTTTAATAATTATTTTAGCCCGTATCATTCTGTGATCACTACCAGTAGAGATTGAGTTTATTACTGTGACGTCTTCGAAAATGTTCTTTTTGTTTGTTAGTATGTAGTCAATTTCATTTTTAGTGTTTCGACCACTGTGATCTTAGCCGAAAACATTAAAGATCTTTAGAGACTGGTGATCAGAATAGCAGAGTATATAAAAGAGTATGGTCTAACAATGAATGGCAAGAAGACGAAATTTATGAGAATATCGAAAACTCAAAGAACTAACGAGAATCTTTTAATAAACGGAATTAACGTCAAGCAAGTGGATAAGTGGAATCATTCGAGCTGTGGGTATATAGAAAAGAGGTTCTGAAAAGGATGAATAAAGAAATGGAAATTTTAAACACAATTAAAAAAAGAAAATTAAAATATCTCGGACATATTACACGTGGAGAGAATTACACCTTGCTCCAACTGATTATGTAGGGAAAGATCCAAGGAAAGAGAAGCATAGGGAGGCGTATAATGTCATGACTGTCAATTTTAAAATAAAAATTGTAAACTGTAACATCCTTTCCTGTAGACTAGCGTCTAGCAACTAGCGACATTAAAAATTTATTTTTTGCTTAAAATTTTAAAACGCATTGCCTTAAATACTTATTAGGAACTGTATAGAGTATTAAGGTAGACAGGATCGCATAACTTTTACTGCTTTCTGAATTAGATGGAATTTATAAAATTAAAAAATGTATCGTTACACCTTTAGCATAAAAAATCTATGTAGTAGTTCAAACTTACTAAATAGGAAAGTTGCAAACATCATTTGGCCAGTTAAAAGTCTCCAGACTGCCAAAATAAACAAATAATGAAGAAGTATATATACAATCACATTTGGCCATACCAAATCTTGCTCGAAATATCCATTTTTTTTTATTTGGTCTTTTGAATTTTGTTCATCTAAGTTGTTGGTCGGATGCAGTCTTTGTTGAAGAGCTGTGTCCTTTTGTAATGGTGGCATTTTGATCTAAAAGTATATAAAATATAAAAAAAAAAGTATAACAAAATATATAAAAATTAAGATTATATCAACTCTAAAGATATTATATGAATATCTTAATCTATTTGTTGGGTAAAAATTAATAAAATAAAAAATTAAGATCTATAGATCTTCAGCATGCATAACGTCGGTAGCAAATTGCTGTCATACAAGAACAAGAAGAACCACACGTGAGCCAAACAACAGGAGCTCCACTCATTAGACATGCTGCGCTGGAACAGCAGCTAGCGCACGGCGCTCGCTGTGGACTGTGTCTATAAACTTAAACATTGTGTGCTTTTATTAGTGTGCTTTTATTACAACTAGACAAACCTCGGTCGAGAAACGAACGTCACTCGAGAACATCTGTATGCCGAATTTTGCAGGGAGTACCAAGAGATTGACACACTTTCGAACGAGTTTCATCCAGAACAGGGTATCAGACAAGTATACTATCTCCACAATTATTCAACATATATGGGGAGTATATTATGCGAAGAGCACTTGAAGGATGGGAAAAGGGCATCTCAATAAATGGTCATAAACTAAACAACCTACGTTTCGCAGATGGCACAGCCCTTCTTGCAAATATTCAAGCAGAGCTGATGAAACTTATATGACTGATCGAAAACGAAAGTCAAATATTTGGTCTGCAATTAAACATATCAAAGACAAAGATCATGATAGTGGATAGACTACACAACAATCGACCGGTTCGAGGTTGTGAGCTCATACTTATATCTGGGATCATTAATCACAAACACAGGGTCATTACAAGACGAGATTAAACGTAGATGTGATCTAGCAAAAGTTGCGACGGCAAAAATGACCAAAACATGGAAGGACTGTCAAATTTCAAGAGCGATAAAGATGAGGTTGATCAACTGCTTAATATTCCCAATACTGACCTACGGATGTGAATCTTGGACTCTGAGACAATCGGAGAGAAAAAAGATAGACGCCACTGAAATGTTCTGTTGAGCAAACACAGAAAACATGGAAAGACTCATAATACAAGGAAAGGTAGAAGGCCGAAGATCACGAGGAAGATCTTCAACAAGATGGATAGATCAAATTACAGGAATATTCCAAAGACCTATGCATGAATTAAAAGAAATGATCAGAGACAGAGATCTCTGGAGACGGACAATACACTCCCGTCTACGTCGACCACTACACTCCCCCTGGAGGGTCAGGATTGAAGAGAGAGAGAGACCAAGAGATTTAAGTATCTGAACAGAGACTAGATGCAATACCATCAGAAGCGAAGTCGAATGGGAGATTCATAACCCAGAGCTAGTTGTAGATCAAATACCCAATGAAATCCCTAATGAGCAAACTCCTGAGACTCTCATGCAAAAAAACTCAACCTGTTAATACGCAGCAGGACAACAGCGAGTTGCACGATGGCCTGGTAAGTGAAATGGCAAGTACCGTGCAAGAATTTAGTAGGAAAAAACCCACTTGGCAGACAACTACTACCAAAAATAAACTCTTATAAGAAACTAGGCGCGCTACTACAAATTGTGAATACTGAAGTTCTACACCCAATTACATCGTGGAAGCTCTAAAGGCCATACATTGGAATATTTGCATATGCTGATTTACTGTGCTTCTTCTTCTTAGGGTGCCTGTCCGTTCCGAACGTTGGCGATCATTCTGGCTATGATGATTTTTTTGATTGCTATACGAAATAGCTGTGTTGAGGTCTTTCTATACCATTGCTCTCAGGTTAGCAAGTCCAGGATATTCTTCTTCATCCTTTCCGCCTTCAATGTACACGTTTCTACTCCATACAGAAGCACTGAGTACACGTAACATTTAAGGAGCCTTATTTCTGTTTTCAGGGTAAAATCATGGCTTTTGAACACAGAGCTCATAGCCAAGAATGCACTTTTGGCCTTTCCGATGCGACATTTAATCTCTTGGGTATTGTCTCACGACTCATTGATTATAGTTCCCAAGTAATTGTATTGTGAGACACGTTCAGTTCTTATTTGGTTCACATACAGATTTGCTCTAGTTATGTTTTGCTTGCTGATGATCATTAGCTTGGTTTTGCTGGTGTTTATATTCAGTCCATAGGTTCTACTTGTTTCTGTTATTTTGTTCATTAAGTTTTGCAGCCCTTCTATGGTATTGGAAAACACTATTGTATCATCTGCATACCGCAGGTTATTAAGCTTGACTCCATTTATTAAGATGCCTTCATCAATATATTTTAGGGCCTCTTCAAAAATGTGCTCCGAGTACAGATTGAACATCAGTGGTGAAATTATGCACCCCTGTCTCACTCCTCTTAAGATTTTTACCTGTTCTGTATATTCTCCATCTATTCGGAGTACCGCTGATTGATTTCAATACAGATTAGCTATAATTTTTAAGTCTATTTGCTGTGCAGCAACAAAAATTGCTAATGTTATGGGTATTAAGATCAGAGTACGACGGGAGTACTAACATCGAAAGGACTAAAAACAGAATCGCACCCTTGGAAAAAATTACTGCTGCTAAGTGATATTGGACAAAAATTCTCCGTTTATTCAGGTCGTTTAAAGACATACAAGTTAGTAACAATCGAAAATGCGACAATATACTTTTTGAGCATACAGAGAATGCTTTTTATAGAAAAACTGAATTCCAATGTAGAAAATAAAAATAAATCCTACTGAAGCCAAGAAGAAATCCATCAGTTTTGGGGAAACCAACTTTCGACGCCAGCTATTTATACCAACAATGCTGGATGTATCGAAGACACGACGAACAACTGTCAACACTACAGTAATATTCGTTTCAGCACTGAAGAAGTCTCGAACATTATCAAAAAGCTTTATAACTGGAAATCTTATGGACCAGATGGAGTTGAAAACCTCTGTCTAAATTCTACAAAAGCGAAATGTGAGAAGACGAAAAATATCGTGGCTTAAAAACTTGATGGAATGGTTTGAATGCAGTAGTGCAGAACTATTTAGGACAAGAGTCCACAGGGTCCGTATAGCCATGATGATTTCCAACCTTCGATATAAGATGAAACTTAAAAAAGAAGAAGAAAGAAGTTTTTAGATGTTCTTGAGCTTTTAACAGTATTAATTAATTATGTTATTTCTAATTTGCGGAAAAATACCACTATTTCTTACTCAAACAACCACTTATCTAATACCGAAGGATCATAATAAAACCGAACATCTAGAAAAGTACGGCTCAGTTACTTGCTTTCCAACTTTGTACAAATTGGTCACGCCCTGTATAGCTCAGCGTAAATAACTAGTATATTAGAACAAAAAATAAAGTTAACATCAAGCAAAGAGGAAAGTACTGAGGAAAACTGGACGAGAATTAAAGACATCTTAAAGACTGTTCAAGAAACAAAATTGAGTGCGCTTAAAGCAAGAAAAAAACAAGGGTGGATGACAGAAGAAATACTGAGACATGGATCAAAGAAGAGAAGTCAAAAATAAAGATAAAAACGAATACAAGCGGATCCACGCAATAATCAGGCAGAAGATAAGACACGCAAAAACACAATTTTATAGTAAAGAATGTAATAAAATTAAACAATATGTAAAGAAATACGATACATTTTTTCTGCACAAGAAATTAAAAGAGGTCACTGGAAACAAACAGAAGCAGGTATCCCAAAGTTTAGAAGACAGGAAACGGACACAGAATATTAGACATCAATGAACAGTTAAAAGAATGGGAAAACTACATTTCCAAATTATTTGAAGATGAGAGAGTAGAACACTATACACCGATTGCTACATCAGGTCCATCTATAACAAAAAGTAAGGTTACACGTTCAATAAAAATGACAAAAAATGGAAAAGCACTTAGCCCCGATAAAGTAAGTGCTGAAATACTAAAGTTTTTGGGGAGAAAATGGAATTAAAGCTATGTGTAAGCTCCTTACTGGACCTGGAAATGAAATGAAATTAAGTCCAGAAAGTGGGGTTCGATCGGTCACACACTCCGAAAAAATAGTTCAAGTATCGCAAATACTGCCCTAGAGTGGAATCACCAAGGCAAAAGAAAAAGAGGTCGCCCAGTACAAACTTGGAGAAGATCAATCATGGACAAGATAAGACGCCAAGGAAAGTATTGGAATGAGGTGAAGGCCTTAGCGCAAAATAGAACCCGATGGCGCGTTTTCCACTGAAGCTCTATGCTCCACTAAGGAGTTCAAGAACCTATATATATATATATATATAATATATATATATATATATATAACCTCTTTAACAGAATTTATGACACTGGGATATTACCAACTGATTGGTTAAATTCAACATTTGTCCACAATACCTAAGAAATATCGTCCAAAGACATGCGGTGATTATCGGACAATAAGTCTGATGAGTCATGTTTGAAGATCTTCCTGCGGGTAATACACAGCAGAATTTACACGCTGTTAGAGGACAGAATTATCAATAGTCAATTTGGGTTTAGCAGTGGCTTGGGTACAAGAGAAGCCTTGTTTAGTATACAGGTGCTAGTATAGAGATGCAAAGATATAAATCAAAATGTGTACATTTGTGCAATCGATTTTGAACAGGCTTTTGACAAAGTCCGACATAACAAAATGCTAGAAATATTGGAAACAGCTGGATTAGACGATAAAGATCTACGAATAATTACAAATCTATACTGGCATCAAGTGGCAAGAATAAAGGTTGAACAAGAACTGTGGGATGAAATAAATATAAAAAGGGGAGTGAGACAAGGCTGTATATTGTCGCTTTTACTTTTTAACTTATATTCGGAGGAAATATTTAAGGAAGCCTTAATGGAGGACAACCGAAGGTATTATTGTGAATGGAGTAAGCGTCAATAATATTAGATATGCCGAAGTTACCTCAGTGCTTGCTAATTGTTCAAAAACCTTCAAAATCTAATGATGAACAAAATAAAATAGACTTGTGATTAATATGGATTAAAACTCAACGTTAAGAAAACTAAATATATGATAGTAAGCAAACAAAATTATATACAGG